CCTCATGGAAATTTAATTAAATATCTCGTATTATATGTTGTCTTCATCTCTTTCGTTGGGTGCCTTCGGCTAATAACATGACTTATATTTCGTTTTTTCCGTTATGTTTTCTAACTGCGTTATTTGGGTATCCCATACTTTTATTAGTATTATTTTGTCCGATGTTCGGTGGGTTTTAGGTTTTCCAATGTGGTATCACCCAACGCTTCCTAATTTGCAAGAATAATATCGATTCCCGGCTAACTTATAAATTTTAGAAATACTTAAAATCGTGGGATTTCTTGCAACAAACGGAGTACTCAGTATAAACTGGATAATAGAAATGCTGTAATCTTTGAAAAATCAATTCTTTCCTTCTAATCAAAATCTCAACGTAAACGCTAATCAAATAATCGATGGTTTTATGAAATATGCAGATATTTGTCAACGACGCTATTTCTAATAAGTATAAAAAAATAATTTTTGTTTTTTTTCTTTCACGTTCCTTTTTCAGACTTTGATTTGATACCTTTGAATCCCACAGTTGTGACAATCTGTTATTGCCTATTCAGTAAAATCTATGAGTATAACCCAACAACTCGAGATAAAGTGAAGCAGCGTATAAAAGATACATTCATGTGTGTTTATCTTCTTTCATTGAGTCTCGATTGACAATGGATTCCAAACATTGACATTTAAATAATTTAATAAACGCAGTTTTTCTGGTCCATTTCTATGGGTGGCCGTGCCAGGTCAGTCGATTTCTTCAATCTCTGAATTAATTCGATTTCTTTTATGCTTCTGACCCTTCACCTCAATCTCTAATCAAAAAGTCGTCTACACTTACTTCACTTTTCGTGAAATGGGTGACATACCATTCGGATGCCCACCAAATTACAATTACACCACACCAGCAGTTCGTTCTGCGTGCAACATTCGAACTGTAAATTTAGTATGTATGTGGTCCTTTCCCATACTGTGCCTATTTTATCTTCTTTCAATTTCAATGTTGACGGTTCTTTCGAGAGGTTATAAAAAACTTGATGAGCAAACGAGTAGTGAGGAGGCCGCGAGCTCAGAAGGGCGCGGAGAGGGGTACAACTTTTCTTCCGATAACGAGTATAGGAAGGCAATGATGGAGATACTTAACACAGATCAAAAGTTGAGTATGGCTTAGAATTTGTCGTACGTCAATTGTCTTTAAGAGATTTACAAAGGAAAGAATCTTCAAGAAAAAATGGTGGA